TAATAAAGAAAAACAAATTGTTCATTTTCTAAATATAAACATTCTCAAAATTGTGCCTATCAGGCACTGAATTGAACTCGAATCTGTGGAATTTGGTTTGATTCCCTTTCTGATAGCTATTGTTAAATACTGTCAAGCGATAATCAGACTGTTGTCTTATAAGAAAACACTGATGTTCATATTTTCTAATATACCAAGGTGAGATGAACGATGCATATATAGACAATCTTGCTGATGATAGTCACAATTTTGAGAATGTTTATATTTAGAAAATGAACAATTTGTTTTTCTTTATTAGGAAATCTTTTTTTTGTATTGATAACAAAATGATAAAAAGTACGAATAATAAATCAAGAAAAAAGAATTGTTATTTGAATAAAAAGAAACGATTGTAGTTCGAGAATTTTTAAATTTATCTTTTTGAATGGATTTTCACAAAACAGTTCAATAGAATGAAATATGGTAGATGCTTTTACAAATAATGAACTAAACCAAAACGATTCAAAGAGGACGTGGATGTGGTTAAACAGAATGTCAACATCTATATCCACACTCTTCTTGATATTATTAGAAGTACTGGTTACAAATATAAGTATTAATCTAGATTTGTGCAGCTTTCTCTTAGACTCTAGCGACATGGTTTTCCTAGTAATTGGAAGAAGAACAGCAACGGAAAAGCTATTGAATGACATTATCAACTAGATTTAGACTATTCTAAAACATTTTAAGACCTTCCTTGAAACTTCAATGGCTGAAATATGTTTGTGAATACTTTAAATAGTATGTAGTCGTTATGGGATCAATATAAAAAAAGGTGAACTATTCCTATTCTAACTTTAATAGAAACATGTAGCCGACTTATTTACTAGTTAAATCAATGTTTGAAATCATACTAAAACACACAATATGAAATATAAATCAACAAGCCAAACAGAAATTACAGAACAAATGCTTAAAATAAATGAGACTGATGGTTTTCATGGAAATTGATTCTCTCTTGGAAACAACAATAAGGTTCACTAGAGATATATTGCTTAACCTATTTTGTATTAGTTTATGCAACTAAAATTTAATGACAATTTATTCTGATTGGTTTAGAAAATTTAGATATGATTGTTATAACAGAGATCGAGTCTAGTAAAAAAGTAGATAAATGAATTCTTGTTGATATGTTTTCATTTTATGACCTCGATATTTTTAGTTTTTATTGAGGGTGTGGATATGGATGAGAGAGAGAGAGAGAGTATATGATCCATCAACACATCCAAACAACATCTGTACCCACATCCACACCCGTCATTTGTGGATGCTTGTTCAAATTCACGTCGTTGTTTGATATTCGTTAGCTAAAATAAATAAAATAGTTTTTTTTTTATACAATTGATATTTACAGGTTTTCTTTTATAATACCTGTAGATAATATTCTCGACCAGTAACAAGAAATAAACGATTGTCTAATTCTTCAAAACGAGCGGTGAAACATGATAACGTCAATGAAAACCTAAAAAAGTAAAAGATATACCGTATTATCAATGAGAATTCATTTTGACACTTTATATGGTAATAGAAAGTTTAGCATACATGTATTTCTTGAGATATTCTCTTTAGAGTTCTCTGAGAAAAAAATCAACGTTAGTGAAATTTATTGATCGTTATTCCTTCGGATTGCAATAAAGAGGTTTTTTTCATTAATGTTTTACTATTTATCTTTTCCAAAATAATTTTAATCGTACGTGGAAGTCGTGGTAATTTTTAAAAAGAAAACTAGGAAGAATATTTAAACATAGATGGAAAAAAATAGCTCATCCAACAGCCCAAATACGACTTCACTCTATTTTACTTATAAGAATAAATTTAGAAAAACTCCTGCAATATTAATTCACTATTAAATCATCAGTATGAAATTTCAATACAAATTATTTTTTAGTTAAAGATTAATCTAAAGAACTAAGAAAAAAAACATCAGCAAGGATAAATGATTTAAGTAAATACTTACAATGCATCAGCAATTGTATGTGATGGACATGTACTTAACATAAGACAAGTTAAGTGCCCGCATGTAGCCATACGTATTGATTTTCTTTGTGCAATATATGTCATTGATAATAAAGTCCATTCATTAACTTTAACTAAATAATGTGCATTAATTAAAGCACGAAAAGAAAACAAAAACTGTATATGCAAGTATTTGAGAATATAATTGTTGTGTTGATGCAGCAAATTCTAAAATCCTTTTATTCATTAAACGATCCGATAAACCAATATATGCAAGTAATAATGGTAATGCTGATGATTGTTTAGTACATTCATATAATTCTGCAACAAGTTCAATAAGAATATTATCTAATGATGATATTATGGATGAACTATCAATCATTTCTTGTTCTTCATTAGCATGTTCATTATTTAATGAATTTGTATTTTCATTTGGTTGTTGTAATCATCTATAAATACGTGCAAGTATTAAAACAAGATAATCAATTGACTTATTATTGTTATTGAACGTTCATATAAACGTCAAATATCATTTTGGGGATATTGACCAACTATTAAAAGTCTTTCAAGACTAATTGATATAATTTTTTTGTGTTAAATTATCATCCTTAATTAATAATAATAAAATATCATATGAATTTAAAACAACGTCATGACTTTCAAGTAAAAATAAACATGATACACATGCATGAATTTTAGTTAATTTAAAATTGTGTTCAATTAAACATATGTATAATTCATTATATTCTTTTGTTGTTTGTCCAAGTAATATACCAAATTTACATAAATTATAACTTATTAATGATATCATTAAATCATCTTCATCAAACCATCTACGAAAATATTCATCACATAAATCATATAAATTTGATAACTGTTGTAATGATGGAAATAAATCCGATAGATATATAAATGAATCTTTTAATTCATATTTTAATTGAATAAAAAAATTATTTGAATTTTTTGTTAACCAACGAACATATAGTTCAATTAGAATTTGTAATGAAGATGTTAAATCAAAACCATGGCGAGAAAATAAACTCTAAATTATATATTTTTAAAGGTGGATGCCAGCGAAGGAAATGTTCATACTCTAATTTTCTCATTGATAGAAAATATTTCTCATATTTTAGACTTTATTAATAGAATACAAGAAATAATTAGAATACATATGAAATTATTGATATAAGTTTTTATCTTTATGAAATAAGACATTTTGCATGTATTATATATCAAATCAAAGTCAGAGAAACACTAAATTTTTTGTTTGATGAAATTAATAATTTAGCCATAAATTTGCCTTTCTCTTAACTTAGATTTCTGTATCATAAAGTTTAAAATTCTTTTGATAACCTTTTTTCTACCTTTATGTTGAATACTCAATATTAACAAAATCGTTCAATATTTTTAAATAAATTAGTTTAACTTTTATCTATCTGTTAATAAAAATGGAATAGATTTATTTCGATATCGATGTTCAAATGTTATATCAGTTGGATTTTCTGTACAATTTAATCAAAGTGCATTTAATAAAAATGTTGTTACACCATGAATCCATATACTATCCAGAATAAAAAGAAAAGAACAAATAGAATATAGTTTATTTTAGAAGTTTGTTACCATTGTATTGCATTGGTTTTGAAAATTTTTTCTTTTATTAAATTATTTGTTGTTTGTTCATTTTCATCATTAGATTGATTTGTGGTGGATTAATTGAAACTCAAAATGAAATCTATATTTCTTGAAATTGTATTCTTGATAATCAACCAACTCCAAAATTGTCTTGATATGCCTATACATGAATTAAATATTGATAAACAAAATAATAATATAGCTATACAACGTAAATCATATCAATAAATATATGATATATATATACTTAATTTTTCTTGTTAAATAATAGAGATCATAAAGATCATTAAATGATAAAAGTAATAAATGTATAAATGATTTATTATCTGGTTCAATTAAATTTAAATATAATTATAATAATTGATTTATTTATTTGATA